TTGCGGCCGGCGAGATGGCCGTCGCGGCAAGCCGCGCGGGCCCGGCTGCTCTCTGGCATCCCGCCTGCTTCGTCTGCTGCGTGTGTCGTCAGCTGCTAGTGGATCTAATCTACTTCTGGCGGGACGGCAGGCTCTACTGCGGCCGTCACCACGCCGAGACTCTCAAACCCCGCTGCTGCGCTTGCGACGAGATCATCCTCGCTGATGAATGCACTGAGGCCGAGGGTAGAGCGTGGCATATGCGCCATTTTGCTTGTCTCGAGTGCGACCGGCAGGTAAGAATACAGAATAAATGTAAATTAAAGATTTTCTAAAGAAACATTACAAGTATTGCAATCATCATTTTTATGACGTCAGTAATGAATGTTTTTATTAAGTTGGGTTTCCTTCACGTTGGAATTTAAAACAGGAGAAATTTTTTTTTTTTTAAGGAATATAATAAAATATAATAAAATAAAACTATATAAATAAAATGTGCTAATAGAAGTTTTTTTTTGCGAATATAAATATAATATCATAGAAATATGAAAATTACGATTATATATATAATCAAACAACGTTTTGACTCTTACTCTGGTTATCTTCAGTGATATTTATTGTAAAAATAAAGGAACGCTATCGATAAATTTTATGTACAAGTGAGCGAGGTCATTGAGCGCTAAGTTATGCATGCCTTCAATGGTTATTACGAGGTGCCATCTGCCATGTTAAAAGTTAGAACAAGCGGAGATAAGCTTTTAAAAATTCTGTCTACACATCAATTGAGATCTCCTGATAGCCAATATTTATAACGGAGATCATGACAAATAATTTCGATTTTCAAGCATGTTCTATGTTATTATTTTATTTTGTGTCATTATATATTTTATTTAAGACTACATTCCGACATTATTTCAAGATTGAATTTGATAATGCGTTTATTCTTTCTTTCGTTTTAAGTTAATATAACTAGATTATTTATAAAAGTTCAGATTATAAATATTTTTTCATTAAAAATGTGAAATGTATGAAAAAGTTACGTTAATTGAGAGTAGCCTGTTGTACGTAAAATTTACATATAAATAGCAATACTGTATCATTTGATAGCGATAGCGCGCGCGCACACACACACACACACACACACACACACACACACACATTCTGTGATTAAACTTAAAACAAGAAGTGCCTCGGGTCTTTCTCATATACATATTAAACTTTGCAATTCTCTAAAAACGAAAAAATGTTTTTGATTACTAGATAGATAAATATATTTATTTGTTCCAAACGCGCGCGAGCAACTAATGAAGATATATTCCACATGTCTCTCAGTTATGAATGCAGGACAAGTAACATAACGGCGCACGTAACTACTCTCCCCTTATGGAGACTGGATGCTGCATGATAGGATCGAGTTTATAAACATATATAAATGTAGAATATTAGATTTTTTTTCATAAGACGATTCTCTGTGCTGCAGCGAATCGTTTCGACCTAACGGTACACTTGCGGGATCGGAAACGCGCGCCGCCAAGTTAATGATTACGTCGCTATCGAATTTACAGCTGCGTAGCAATTCATAATCCCGCCAGCTGACTCTATCCCCAGATACGTCTTCCGACTTAGATAGCGTCGAGAGGCACAGAAACAGCACTTGCTTTCCGCTTTATCCGCACCGGTGTTGTCTTTGGCTTCGGGTGTGAACTTGTGAATGCATTTATCACGCGCGGAGAAGACCTGGGAAAAATTCTAAGTAAGAGAGGGCGGAGGAGATTCTTATTTAAATTTACTCGACGCAATTTACTAAGTGATGATATAAGAGTTATTCTCTCCGGTTGAGAGTGCGGGATAACGCGGTATCTATATCGCGAACGTATACGAGAAGCGAGAACTCTAAGAAGCTAATGTTTTATCAGATCGCCGCCATATATGTAGAGTACATGCTCCAGTGAATAACCGGTCACTGGCGTAGTGCCATTATCACCGAAGCTATGCTTATTTCTCCGCATTGAGATAAGACAACTTTGTTCTCCTGTGCTTGAGGAATGCGCTACCGTTTTTCGATGTGATGTATTGCACGATATCCTCTTCTTGCAATCTGAGCTTCTTTTATTTTTAAAATTGACGTCTTACGAATTTAAACTCAAATCTTTTTCAATATCTAAGAAATAAAATGATTTACAGCCTTGATCAGATATATTAATCATCTATATGTTTTTCCCTTCTTACTTTCCTCCTCTCACCACTTTCCAATTTTTCCTTCCTTATCTGAATGTCAATTTTGATTCCATTATGTCTCAGAACACCGAGAAGACAAGATATTGTTTTATTTCTTTCCGCATTGTCTCTAATTTTATTCGTAATTTTATTTTCGTATTTGTACCGGAAACTCTTTTTATTTTTATTTTTTTACTTAAGGTATATTATGTTAAAGATATTATGCATATTATTTTTAGCTATTATTATATTATAAATTTCAGTTAATATATAGATATACTTTTTTGCAATCTTAATCTTCATTAAATTTGCTATGTATCATCTCATATATTATATTGTTTTATATGTTAGTCTTAAATAGTTTATCTAGCGCTATAATTTAGTTATATTATATTTTATATTCAGTTATATTATTTCAACTTCCTTTTTCCTTATTGTTAATAATCTTGCGCTACGATTTCATTTATATTATATTTTTTCTACAGGATCAGATTCATATTTGCGTTCTCCGTTCACTTTCAAACAAAGAACTTTCATTCTTTTTATTAAATTTGACATTATAGCATTTCATGACTGATTGCAAGTAGCTATTATTATGCATATGTTCTTTTTTTATTATACATTATAATTGTGAATGTTACGATATTCGTTTTCATGTTATCAGCATCTGTTTTAAAGAGCGAAATAGATAACTTATTATGTTTTTGTTTTTTTTGACTGTAATGATTATGTATGTTTTTAACATTGAAAATGATCCGATTGCGATCGAAACGTCTGTCTATTGCTAGCATTCTATATTAAATTTTTAACTTAAAACATTTCTGTTTCTTTTATTGTTTTTTTACTTTTTATATTGTCATGTTTTATATAATAGTTTTTGGATCATAGTCCTCTTTTTTCTTTGTTTTTTATATGTTTTTCAATTTGAAATTCTTTTACCTGTATTCTGTTCCCTGTTAATTATCGACATTGTACATAAGCTCAAATAATTCTTAAAATAAAGAACAATTCACAGCCTTAAACCAATTTTTTAACTAAAACGTTAAATAATGGTTAATAAAGTACTTAATATTTTTGATCAGACTGTACATAAATGACATGTTTATTTATAAAAACAATTAATGTATTTCATTCTTTATGCTCTAATCGCATGCGTCACGTAGAATGTGATTTGTACCTTCATTAATGTAAATTAATTTTAATTTCAGTTCAACTTACTCTTTACTTTTTTATCTCTAGTTCTAAGAATTAGAAAAAGAAGAATAAACTGAGATTAAAGTTAATCTGCATTAATAGAAACGGATATTAATTTTTCATTTTTCGATCATCTTCTGTATATAACTTCCGTTCGTCTAAACGAGCGATTCATCGTTTCTCAAGATAACTTCAGAAAAACAAAGACGAACGAATTATGTAAAGGAATGTTTACGAACATTTTTCTGTAACTCTAAAATTATTGATATATATATTTTACGTACAAGTGAACGAGTTTATTAAGATGCATAATTCATTGAGAATAAGTAAATATGCTTTCAGTGCATATCTTATAATGCTCAATAAATTATGCATTCAGATCAAAAGGTTCATTCTATCATGCTAAAAGCTAAGATAAACAGAGACAAGTTTAGTTTATTATATATTGGTTTGAATCTCTTGCAGATAGTTAATGTTATAACAGAGAGTGTAATAAGTAATTTTAATTTTTAAGCAATTTTGTGTTATTATATATTTAATTTAAGTGTTATTAAGTGAAGAAACATTCTTTATGTCATTTCAGGTTTGAATAATCGTGTGCTTATTCTTTCTTTCCTTTATAATTAGGTTATTTTTAGGTTTATTAGAAAGCTTTTGATTATACACAGGAATATTATACATACGTAGTAGCTCGCAGTTCGGAGTTCTAAATGTAATAAAATGGGGTTATCCCCACTTCATTTTTCAACATGAAATTCAAGGCCCTACTGGACTACGGTTCTATCACTCACTCACGCTACTCACAAAGCATCGAACGTGTGGAATGTGTGAAACGTCATACCTGTGTATGGAAAAGATTTTCTGTGCTATAAGACGTTCGCTGTTATGTGATATTTAGTGTAAATATTTTATCATTGAAACTGATATGTGTTCATTTCTTATATCTAAGACTGTCTTAAGTAGTAGATGTAAATAGTCTTAAGATATCATAAGCCAATCACAGGACAGTATTAATATCTTAAGTAATGTCTTAAGCTGCTAATATTGTGATTGACAAATAAGAACTCTGAATACGAATCTAAAAATGAAATGTATGAAAATTTTGTGTTACATTAACGGTGGTCAGCTATTTCCTTGTGCGTAAAATTTATACATTGATAAGTATAACATTGTATCACTCAACATTCAGCGTCTTAGAGTTAATGTATCAAAAGTGATAATATATTCGTCGATGTAGATTCAGATTGTTTGTACTGCAGCGCACCTTGTCCACCTGTTCATTGAAACAGATTTATTCATTCACGTTCATTTTTACTTTGTCTGGTTCCACTTTCACAGACGTAAATTCACACGGAGTGCATCTTTTTCTGTTTCCAGCTTGGCGGCCAGCGGTATGTGATGCGGGAGGGCCGGCCGTACTGTCTCAGGTGCTTCGATGCTTCCTTCGCTGAGTATTGTGACAGTTGCGGCGAGCCGATCGGCGTCGACCAGGGTCAAATGTCACACGAAGGTCAGCACTGGCACGCGACCGAGGCTTGCTTCTGCTGCGCCACTTGCCGCACTTCTCTCCTAGGCCGGCCGTTCTTGCCGCGACGTGGTGCCATTTACTGCAGCATAGCGTGCAGCAAAGGGGAACCACCGACGACACCGAGTGACTCCTCCGCCGGGCCGCCCCCGCCCTCGTTGTCCTTCCTCAGGTACATACTCCACGTGGTCTCTCGCATACCTCTTCGCCTCGAGGCGAGGGTCATGGGGGTTGCTTTCATTGTCCTGCCACCGACTACGAGAGGTTCGCGCACGGATCCGCAAAAATTATAGCTGCCGGTAACGTCCTGCGATTACGCATGAGCCTACGAGTTGTACGGCGCTCCCGAGTTCGCAAGTAACGGAGTTGCACGCCGAGAAATTATTACGGCGGTAATAAATTATACTAATGTACCCGGTTTCATATAACTTGTTTTGCTTTGAAAACGACTAGTCGGAAACGGGAGAATCGTTGAAACTTTGAGATTAAAGTTTTGTCGACATTAGTTAAGTAGTCTGGTCTTACGTCCTGTCCGGATCAGGATTGAAACTGTGATAAATAAGAAATTGTCGAATCGTTTATTTAGTCATCTTTAGTTTGTGTTTAAATATTTTAATTTTATTATATGGATGATAGAAGATTATTTAGATTTTTCGGCTTATCATTTGAGCGATATACATATTTTATAAACGATATTCAGATTAGTACATATTATCGCTAACGAAATCAGAGCCACTTAGATCATATGCTTGAAGACATGTTAATGCGACACCTATAGAGCGGCGTCTTTCGTGGTTGAATTTAAATTTGGTTTATATACATAACGACCTCGTTTCGGAGACACAAGGAGCGCTGAATGTCGCATTTAAATTTCATTATGCATCTAATTGTCGAAAATTTTTAACCTGCTGTAAATGTAGATAATTTAAATTCAAAATGAGAAGTAATTAATCGCACACTCTGCAACATAATTGTTTGACGATGAAAAAATTTTAATCATTTTTATCTTTGGTACATAGCGTGTTTTAATTAAAATGTGAAAAAGATAGAATATCAAGAAATAGGTTATTATAATTATAGATATTTTTTTATGACACATAACAGTAGAAATTATATTTTTAATTATATCAAATATCATGACTTTTATATATATATATATATATATAT